CCCCAAAACCCCAAAACCCCAAAACCCCAAAACCCCTAGAGGCATATCACTTCAGTTCTAGGTAAGTTTGAAATAAAATATAGGAAACAGCGTGCGTGTTAGATAATATATAAATTAATATATTTCCAATCGGAAATAATATAGATGGATAACAATCAGCACCTTAAGTAGCAACAGCTCAATGAAATGCATGCAAGTAAGTCAAGAATCCCCTTGTTTACAATCCCTATTTAGAGAATGCATAACTAATAAGCCAAGGGTTTTCTCAGTAGATGGGATAAACAAATTTACAGGGAGGTTTTGGTGTGTCTCAAAACTCAGTTGAAGAAACATACCTCGCTTTCATTAAATAATAGGATATTGCCTAACTTTAAACTTAATGGGATGGCTATTCATAGCAGTAAAATTTTTCAAAGAGTCATAATGTTCACAATTCTCACTTAAGTGAAGAGGAAGAGAGTCAATCTCTTTTTTCAAGGGGTTTCGAAGGATTTCCGATGGATCAAGTAGTCTCTAATGAACATCAAAATTAGGCTTGGTAATAGTAGTAAAGGCAATATTAAACAGATTAATCTCAGCATCATCGAAACCAAGGAGTCTATTAAATGCCGATTTAAGGATACTAAATGGCCATGCCTTTATAACACCTTACACCATAAGACATGCTAGGCTAAGGAACAGGGGTATTCTAACAGTTTGATGGTTCAATCAAAGATACAAGAATAGCTTCAGATCATTAGAATTAAGATGCCTCTTCTAAACATTAAGCCTTGAACTTTAGACCTGGCTCAAAGACCTCTGCATCAAAGTTACCTAGAGAGTGGCAGAGTGAGGGCAAGTAAGTCAATATTCACGGACTTAGTAAAGAAACATATCTTTAGCTAATTAGACCAAAGCTTTTTAGCCTTAACTTGACTATTGATAAAGAGAATTTTAAGAAAGAGTAAGATTTATTTTCATTTTAAATTTTCTAGGGATATTATTATAAAGCTCGGATCCGAAAATGAGGCTATCATCATCTTAAATACAATCACACATCTAATATCCTAACTCTAGACCCCTGAAGCTTATAAGGTAAAGGTTTCAAGAGTCCTTGAGAGCATCTAGGAAAAAGATGATAGTGACAATAACGGATCTTCAAATCATAGCGGTGAAAAGAATGATCCAGAGTTGAATTTTTATGAATTTGCCTAGGAGTAAAAGAGATTCTTAGAATAAGGTCTTGACGATGAAGAAGATTAAGGAGAACCCTAGGTCGAATACTTCAAAGATGATGAGCAATAGAAAATCTTTTTTCAAACCTCACCATTCTTCATTGGGAAGACTTAAGGTTATATGGCCTAGAGCTTGACTGAAAAAACTCCAATAGCCTTTAATGTTGAGAACGAATATGGTAAAACTAAAAGAGCGTTTACTCCTCTTGATTAAATTACCACCGGTGTTTCAGACGAAGATACACTTCATTATAATCTGTCAGGAAATCTTTAAAACTATTCATTCAATCAATCTAATGAGGCATTCTAGGCTTTCCATTAAAGACCTCATTAGTCATCAGAGGATTCTGGCTCATTCCATTCAGCACATGCCAATATCCCAAATCATTTTAACGTCTAGTTAAGATAGAGCCATGATATTTAGAACCTCCATCAAATGAGATAATCCTTCCCAGTTTACAACAATCAGCAAATATCTTACATAGGTTAGATTCCCTAATAAATACAGAGACACTCAAATCCCTAACAAAATAATCAGTAGTTTATTGCTCAGATTCCCCCAAACCCATTCAATTCAATGATTATTCCTTAATAAACTCAGCCACTTCTACCAATTGATTAATCATTACAACCAAGTGGGACCAGCTTTGTGCTAAACTCCATACCTAATTAGTAATATATCATCAAATAAATGTAGTAAAATGACCCAGCATTCTAATAAATGACTAGGAATTTACAATATACTTAGTAGTAAAGCTCTTGGCCATATCCCAATAATATTTAGACATCTCAGTTATAGGCATAATAGCAGCAACTTTAGAACTAGATACTACAGTAATAGCAAAAGCTTTAGAGTTAAAGAATGGACTTCTAAAAGCTCTCTGAGTAATAGGCTTTCAATCAGTCCAGAATTATGGCTTAGGAGTTCAAGAAATAATCAAACAGTTATGAAAACTAGTAATAATAATAGATTGCCCAAGATCTTTCACAAGGTTCCCTGCAAAAATAATTCTCTTAGCTTCACATCCAAGAGGAGAAAAAGGAGTCGACAAGCTCAATGTCTAATTATGAAAAAGATTAAAAGCCAACTACTAAAAATGATCAAAGCTTAGATTACAAACCGTCCTCATCTTTTGCAAGCAATAACACTGACGACAGAACCAAGAATGAGGTAGACATTACAAGGATTATGAATAATGAGGAATCAAGAACTACTATAATGATTAGAAACATACCCAATAAATTCAAGCAAATGACATTACTTGAAATGATTAATGAAAGACACTAAAATAAATACGATTACTTCTATTTACCAATGGATCTTAAGGTAAGTTTCAAAATTCAATAACCCCCATTTAGACCCAATGTAACGTAGGTTACGCTTTCATTAATTTTGTACATCCCATATATATTCTAGACTTTTTCCTGGAGTTCCAGAGTATTGAGTGGTAAAATACCACACACGATTGCAAGAGTGTAAAAATAAGCAAATTAGCTTTCGCTAACATTCAAGGAAAGGATGAATTAGTTCAGCATCATTTCGATAAAAATATTATGAAAAAAACTGTAAGATCTCCAAGCTATTAACTCAATTGAATTTAATAGGAAGAGCAAATAAAACCATTGGTTTTAGAATCGAATCCTGTCCCTGAGGAGGAGATCAAGAAGATTAAGAATAGATACATAAGTTGCAGGCATTCAGGAGAGCTAGATAAGAAACTAGCTAAACTTCAGAGGAAATAAAGAAAGGCAGCTGTTCATAATGGTCCCCACCCACATCACCAACCCAGTGATCAATCTAATTCTCATTATTCCAACTAGATTTAGCATCACAACTAAGGAAATAATCCCTCCAGCTCAAACAATTAAAATCACTAAAGTTCATAGTAAAATTAAGGAAGTGTGAGATCTGTTACCTAATAAGCTTCTCACAGTTCAAGAGGTCACCATAACAACAATAGCATTACATATGGAGGCTCTCAGTATCCACAAAGTGCTAGAGGACATACTTCATCTACAAATTACCACTATACTAGTGGATCTACCAGAAATTATGGTGGAGCGCATTCAAGTCAAGGCATATATAGCAGCAGTGGCAGCAAGAGAGGAGGAAATAGCAACACTTATCATGGGGGTTCAAAGTAGGGTGGATTTTACAGTGGCAGCAGCAGTGCAAGATAATAGCAAAATTATTATCAAAATCAGTCACAACCTCAATACCATCACTATTAGTGAAAAAGAGTAAAAGAGGGAAGAACTGAGGCTTTAAATATGAAGAAGATCAATAACAACTAGATTATATAATCTATTCTCCCTTAAAACTTCAAGGAGTTACTTTGAAGAACATCAGACTCATACTTTTAAATTACCTAATCTATTAAACTTATTTAAAAACTTATTCAATTTATATAACTCTTATTATTCGATAATCAAGCATCCACCTCTGCACAGCATTTGTCTCCTTCTGGATTGTATATTCTAGCGTATTTTGTCTTACGAATAAATCCGAAAATAAAGTATCCCGTGGTCAATCCGAGGACAGTAACAATAAATATACCTCCGTTGAATGTCATCACAATTAGCATTAGCATGTATGAGAGGAAAATACTTAAGAGATAGACCCAGGCGATAATGAACCTAATTTTGCAGGATAATTTATAAACACTATTGTCTCGTTTGTCAATCAATCTATGATGGAAATATTATGATTTTGATTCTAATTATACTCATTAAGTTTTGAGTAAGCACTCGCTTGCAAATGATATCTCAAGAAGTTTAGACCTTCAATTGCCACTGCGATACAAAATGTAATGACTAGAGATAATATGTAGGTTCCAGTGTTTTCAGTTCTCAAGCTAAATGAAGTATTAAAATTCAGATGAATCATACTTTTTAAAGAGAAAAACAACTTTTGTTCCCATGTAAAAATACATTTGCATCATCATCATACCCACCATCTAATGTTCCATATCCTCTTCAGTTTCACTATTCTATTAGAGCATTCGAGATTCTGTAACGTTTGACTCGACTATATCTGCATGAGATTGCTTCATCTAATGACCACTATGACTGTGACAGTTAGGACACATAGCAATTTATGCACTTAAAAGCACCAATGACAACGCTATAATATGATATTTCATTTATCCTATAATATTATTTTCAAACATATAATTTGCCTTATGGGGTTTTGGGGTTTTGGGGGGATCGGAAGAGCGTC